AAACTTGGTTTATATCTGACCCAGATAGACTGCAGGTCATAACTTCTTACCTGAAGTTCAGTTCACCTGACACTCGGACCAGCGGCTGCCTCGGGGCTCTCCTCCTGCCTCCCCTTCCCTCATCCAGTTATTTTTACACATTGACCTGCATCTGGCCAATCCACCACCTATCATTGTTCATGCCGTTACAAAAAAAAATAACAAAAAATAAGTCACCGGGCATATGCCCGGTATGCCCGATGGCCAGTCCAGCTATGTTAACCTGCAACCATTGTTTTCATAGTTGTTGCATAGTGGATAACATATAGTATGCCAGTGTTGCTCTGCTTAGCCAATATTGAGTTACTGACACATTCTTGTTGAAAATAACAGTTTGACCAATAATTGATGTCCATACCCTTTTTTGTTTGTTTTGTTTTTCTCAATGGCCACTAACATCAGTGGATATCATTTCCTTATTGGCAAGTGGCAGTAAACAACGAAAATGTTGGCCGATGTCTGCCCAGTGAGCGGGTGCCTCCCTGCTTATAAGAGTGAAACAATTTAGGTTTCTTTACAGTTACACTTTACAATTAGGTAAACGATTTATGATTAGTTACCAAGGAACAAATGAAAAATGAATGAGAAGACATTAAAGAGAGAAGACGTTAAAGATATTTAACCAGCTTAAAAAACTAAAGGCAGAAGTTGTTTTAGTACAAGAGACTCATAGGTGTTTTAAGTTAATTTGTAGCTGTGACAGGTCTGAGTTTTCTAATGTTTTCTCAGCCTGCTATAACTCTAGACCAGGGGTTGGCAACCCTAGGCACGCATGCCACAGTTGGCACGCAAAGGGTTAACTGATGGCACGGCCATAGCTGGACTGGCCATCGGGCATACCGGGCATTTGCTTGGTGGCCCAATGATTTTTATATATTAATTTTTGTAACGGTATAAACAATGAAAGGTGTTGGATTGGCCAGATGCTGGCCGGTGTGTAAAAATAACTCAGTTGTTTGGTGGTGGCATCGCGGAGCTTCCACAGATTC